GGGTTTACTTGAAAAAAGATGCAATATGTGTTTGGAAGAATGATTTCAGCATCTAGATGCTGTACTTGAAGGACATTATATTCTACAAATTAAGAAGCTAAGGATACAGACACAGCTGAGATTTCTGTCATAGGAGGTGCACTTTGCTTCAGAATATTATTTGTTCTATATGTGATTTATGACAATGTTTGTGTGGTTGGAGCACCAATTCTGACTCAGGAGTTACAAAGCTGCAAACTGTTGGTCACTGAAAGGTGTGTTGGTAGGGAAGTACAACTAATGCTAACCTTGTTCTCTTATGTTTTCCTAAGTGTCTCTTTTAGATATATTATATGTTTTAGAGACTAACTGTTGGGCAAGATGGGATAGGTCTGACCCAATATGGCTAGTGTTTTGAATGAAGAAGTATAAGGAGAGAGGCCTAGTGATTCCAAGTTCTTGTGCCTTGAAAAGTAGCCAAAAAATTATACATTGGTTTTGTGTCTTTTGTGTTTGCTTCAGGAACTAAATAAAGTGTTGTGATAATTAAAAAAGGTATTCTTATATTATGCTCGATCATTGTTATTTTTGACCAAAGAACCCTAGATCCAAGTGTTGTTTTCTGCTGAAATTATGGCTCTTATGAATATGTGTGTCTGTCTTTATGGAATTACTGCTAAGAAAAGAATATTAAATAACTCCTGAAAAAACAAAGGTGAGCTGTAAAGAAGTGTAATGAAAAAAGAAAACCAAGGAAAAAAAAAACAGTTAAAAAAAATTTAAAACTACTATTTTACTAACTACTATTAATAGTAATTAGGATTAATAATAACTATTAATTACTACAAATTAACCTAACGCAACATAAGATTGTACAGTCTTGCACTGCTTAAAATTACTATGTTCAATTGTAGGCTCGTGCTCAGAAAACAATGCCTTGAATTTGAGTGGTGCAGCATCATGGAAGAGAGCTGTGATGTAGTCCTGTTTCCTTTGTGTTTGGCATAGCATTAATAAGCTTTGAAATATGCTGATTTCATGAAGGAGCCCGTGCTTTCTTTTAAAGTTGTTTTTGTAAAGTTTGAAATGTTATCTGATCCTGGCTTGGCATTCACTAAGTTGAGTGAGATTTTGAAGCAATGATAAAGTGGAGGGATAGGGTCTGAACTAAATATTAATTCTGTTATGGTGGAATTATTTTCAGTCAGGGATGGAAGATGAGCATTTCTTCTTTAGGTTATCTTCTATGTGCTGTGCTAATCAGTCCTAAGACTTTAAACACAAATATCTGTTTTTCCTCCCCTCTAAGGGTCCATTCCAGTACTAATACAGTCTGCCATTGACATATCAAATGTACCTGAAGGCTGGGGAAGTGCCAGCTGTTAGGCAGGGTAGGCAACTACTGAATGCACATGAACTATTTTTTTGCCTGCGAATGTGTGCTCATGTTAGAAGAGAGAGTATTCATGGATTTTAAGTGATAATAGTGTAAATAATTTAACTTAAGTAGATTTAAGTAATAATTTTGTCTACAAAGCTTTGATGCAACAGAAGAATTTTGTCAAAGTGTCTTTGTTGCTTCTATTCCCAGAGTAGTGAAAGGCAATAATAATTTGCTAATGTTCTGACAGAGATAGTGGCCTGTTTTGTGGACAGTCAGTTCAGACAGTGTGCTGCTAACATTTTTAGTATGTTCTTGACTTTTAACTCCCCTTGTTTGAGACAGAATTTAAGTAAAACTCTAGAGGCAATAGTTTGTCTCATGTCGTACCATGAATTTTATTATCTAATTGATTTATTGGATGGTTGCTACTACAGAAGACTGAAAGTATACAGTGAAACTTGGTATCAGGCTAAAATTTAGTAAAAAACTAACTAGTGTTTGTTGGTGGAGGAAGTACCCTGGGGGAAGGCATTGCAAACAAATGGTACTTTTTATATAGGACTAACTTTGCCAAGAAAGAACATGGCCATAGCAGAAAACTTGTAATTTTACTCATGGATAAATTTGCAAAATATTCTCATTGAGAATTAAAATAAAGGTTATAATCAGTGTGGTTAATGTGGGTTATCAATCACTATCTTATTTGTAGTTTTAGCCAAAGTATTTTAATTAGCATAAAGCACAGTTTGCTGTTATAGTAAAATGTTAAGCATACATTAGTTTATTCCTTGGTTTGTTAAAGACATAACTGATTGCTATGCCATTTCTCTTTGCTGACATTGTGAGGAAAGAAGGATCAATTGTTATCAAAAATACAGACAACTGTCTGTTATGTAGAACAATGGATAAGACCAAGGTTTCAGTTCTGTTGGATTGCTCATCTCTGCTGAAGGATGTGCTAGCTGAAGTGCAGCTTTGGGCATGAGTGAGCAGTCTGGGTTTGTGAGCTACTTGTGTGAGCTCAGAGCCTGGCAGAAACTTAAGGCTTTGGAGAGAACTGTGCAAGCACACTTTGACTGGAGCTAGTCCAGCTCCAGGAGAATTGGCAACAAACTGAAGCAGTGGAGTCCTGGAAGTAAACTGCCTCCGTGTGGTCTGTTCTCTGTGTCTCTGGACTGTGCTTATCAGCTGCTTTCAGTTCGAGGAGTGCAATGTAGGCAACTCAGGCTCTGTGTTTCAAAAAAGCAGTTCTGGTGCTGCAGTTGAGGCTGTCTTTGGTAGCAGAATAGCTGCGATGTGCATAGACTGCAATTTCAGAAGACTGCCTTGGTCTGTGATGGTTCCTGCAAGGCATTGAGTTCAAGTGTCTTACTTGAAAAATCACAAATTTCTATGATTGTTGGTCATAGGCATGATTTGGAGCAAGAGCAGACTGAAAGGAAAATGAAATGGTTGGTTGATCAGCTGGTATATCTTAGTGCCAGATGTTAGCGTTGTGTCTACCCATAATTTTTGATATTTCTGTTAATTCTGAATGCTTTTTCTAATCAAACAATTTTTCTGATAGGATTTAGAAAAAAGATATAGTGCCCTTTTACTCTATCTGAGACAACATATAGAATTGTAACTAACTTCTATTTAGGATTTTCCTATACTGTTTTGTTCTTTTCCTTGCACCAAGGAGTACAGCTGATGTGTTATCGTTTCAGTTGTATATATGTCAGTGTTGAATTTTTCCTCAGAAATACTTTGGGAGCACATAACCATAGAGTTTTGCTTTTCTGCATTTTTGTTCTGAATTCAGAAACTAATTAACTGTAATCTACATCAATTTGTAGGACATAGAAACACATTCATAAGAAGAGCCATCAACTTTGATATGAATAATCCTTGTAATTTTTGGAGATTAGATGTTTTGCTTTGTCTTTCTCTTTGCAGTTTTGCCAGTGCTAATCTAGATAATGCATCTTTCCCGGCAGATAAGTTTTTATAGGAAATCTTTGGTTCCTTTCATAAAACTAAGTAGTCTGAGACAGTGCCTGAAGGATGGTACTCGTTGCTGACACATTTTTTGTGTTTTGTGGATAAAGCTGTAAACACTAGATGAAGCAGGGTTGGGAAACAAAGTTTCTGTATTATTCTGTGCCCATTCTCCTACTGTTTGGTTACTAATTAAAGATGTGTGTGCATTCCCTTATGCTCTCCAGTCCTGATCTGATCTATCAGTATTTAGATAATCTTCTATTGCACTGTAAGGCTCAGTTTCCTTTAATGCTTTTATTTATTGCCATCCTTACTGTAACTAAGCTTTTCTGGGGAGAAATAGGGATGGAGTCTATTTTTCCTTCTGATATTGAATCTATTTCTTTTCTACCTCCTCTCTCTATTTCTCTAGTCTTCACCAGGGACTCTTGTCCTAGTAAAAAAAATTGGAAGGAAGAGTCACAATGGCTTTTTTGAGATTTTGGTTTAGCAGTCTTTATAACTGAAAAGAAACAGTGAAATATATCATCCAAAGCAGAAATAACAACGAGAATATTAAGTTTAGTGATTATGATGACTTTTTAAATCCTTCTTGTTGAGATGTAATAAATCAAGCAGTTTAGTGTCTGGGAAGGTGATAAATTTAATTGTATCTGACTCTGCAAACAGTGAGCCAGTGCTTTGGGTACTCGTATCCTATTAAACTTTATAGTTCAAATGGAAAAAGAAATCTGTTGGTAGCTATACTACTTGTGTCATGTTCTGGTACATCTATGATGTGGTAAAACAACCCCAAAGTATGTTTCCTCATTAATTAAAATTAATGGTCACAAGTGAACATTAGAAAATTAAAAATAATTAGATGTAACATTGTTAATATATGCATTTTATTAAGTATAGGGATTTGTCATACATTTGGAAATATAAAAAGATGTCATATTTCAACATCATTGTTGACAATTTTTAATTTTCTTTTTAAATTTGTATTTTGATTTACTTATGCTTTATTTATCAGAGAAAGCAACCAGTGAGATGAACACTGCAGAGGACTGGGGCCTCATCTTAGACATCTGTGACAAAGTTGGACAGTCACGCACAGGGTAAGTGACTTTAGGAATTTCCTCCCCAACCGCTTTTAATTCTGTTGTTTCAGTCTTATACCCAGGTGAGAGGAATTATTTTTCTGTTATCTTTTATAAACTTCTGCAACAGCTAACTTTTACTTAAATTGATTACAAATAAAAGGAAAATGTATGGGGTTTCTGCTGTAATATTTTGCAATCCTTCCTTTGGAGACTGATCTGTTAAAATTAGGACTTGTGTACAGCAGTTTTTTGCCAGTGTTGCAGATAAATTGATATGTTTTAGCAGTATCACTGTAAACCCAGGAGGCTTCATGAGGCATTTTTCTTGCAGAATCATTATCTAAGTTGGAAGTGACCTCCAGAGGTCATCTAGTCCACCCCCTCCCGAGCTTCAAACAGGTCTAATTAGATCAGGTTGCTCAGGACCGTGTCCAGTCTTGAATGCCTCCAAGGTCAAAGGTTCCACAACTTCTGTGGGCAACATGTTTAAGTATTTAACTAGTTGTACTTACTAAGTAAAGAAATAAAATAATAATCCTGCAATCTGATTACAATTTTCCCTGTTCCAACTTACCTGTTGCATCTTGTCCTGTGACTGTGCAGATCTAAGAAAGAGTCTGGCTGCATATTCTGAATATACTCTGATGAACTGGTTGTTGAAAGCAGTAAGGCCCATTTTTTGTCTGCTCTTCTCAAAGCTGAAAGCACCTCTCCCATCTTTCCTTGTATGTGACCCTCCCTGACCATCCTGGCAGCCATCCATTGGACTTAGGGCAGTGTGTAAAGAGCCTTCTTGCACAGGGGGGCCCCAAAGTGGACAAAGTGCTCCAGATGCAATCTTACATGTGCAGAATGGAGGGAAAGGGTCAATTTCCTGACCTTGTTGGTTGTGCTGACCAGTAGTTCTTGCCAGGATGGGGCTGGTTGTCTTAGCTGCTGACACCTCTCACCCAATCGGACCTGCAGATCATTTCCTGCTTTTCATGTGGTCAGCTCCCGTCCTCATTTAAAATGCAATAACTTACCCTTGTTCTTGTTGAACTTCCAGTCTGCCCATCATTTCTCCAGCCTGTCTTGGTCCATCTGAACATTAGCCAAGCTCTCCAGTATATTGATTATTCTCCTTCAGCTTGCTCAGGTCACTAAGTTACTGAGAGCACTGTTGGTCCCAGCAGAAATCCTTGAAGGATACTGCCTGCTAGCTGGAATTTGCACTACAGGTGACAACTCTTTGAGCCTGGGAGACCAGCTTTCTACCCACCTTTATCCAGACCATATCATCAGCTGTGTTATAAGGACACTACAAGGGCTTCAGCTGTATCAGCTGTCAAAAATTTGCTAAAATCAAGGTATAAAGGATCCACTTCCCTCCATTGTTCTTGCCATCAGACCACCAGTGTCACAGAAAACAACAAGGCTTTGTGTTTCTTCCCCTTGTTTTCAGAAGCCATTCTCTGTCATCAGGGCTTGGATAAATATACATTTTGAAGATGTGGTACTAAATTAAACATCTTGATATGGGCTGCTAAAGTTGCCGTTTTTTAATATTTACTGAGCTCTTTCATAGAATTTATTAATGAACTTTTTGGACAAGAAAAGATAATTTGAGCTAGCAACTAAAATGCAGTTTAAAGACATTATTTCAGTGTATTTCTAGTGCTTTCAGTCAGTGTAGTATTAGGATTTGGAAATATTTTAAATATACCTTCTCAAAGTATTCCTTGTAACAGTTCAGGTAAGGAACAGACTCAAGAAGAGAATTTTGCCACTGATGCTGTGAAAGGCTTCTCCAAGAATGACTTGTAAAACTGCCAGAAACAGTGTGAGATGCCAGAGAGCAAAGTTCCACCTTGGACTTTTATTGCAAAGGACAGGTTTGCAAATAAGCTTATTCCTTAGGATTAGAGATGGTCTCTGGTGGAGTACTTAAAAATAGAACAGCATATTGAGACTTTTGTGCTGTTGTGTGTAACTGTAGTTAAGATAACAGCTGGCAAGTTGTTAATAATGTTTCATATTAATATTTATATGTAAAACTGAATTTCTGTTCTTTTAGCATGTTGATACTGAGCTTGTAACAGTTAACTATATTATTGAGTGTTTCAGTATTCTATTTAATCACTGAAAGCCTTTCCACAGATAAAATTTAGTCTTACAGCAACATAGCCTGAACAGTGCAGTGTGTACCTGCAAGAGACAGCAGTACAGACAAAGCTAGAGCTCTTCTGGTAATGTGCAGCTTAATTTCTGTTAGGATTTGTGAGGTTTGTTGGTGTTGATTTTGGTCTTTTTCTTTTGTGTGTTTGTATTTTAGTATTTTTCGTAATAAAACTGTTTTATTTAAAAAAAAGTGGGACTTTAACCTTTGTAATATATATCCTGCTTGTAATAGGCTGCCAGCTGACTTGTTGCTTAAATTCAGATTCTGTTAAAACTTGCTGAGAGTGGGGTTTCTTTGTTTTTGATGGATTATGACATGCAGTAGCAAGGTAAAGTAAGACCATGTTTACTATTAAGAAGTTTAAATGAGATATGCTTAGCTGTTTGAAATTCTCCTGCAGTTTAAGTTCCTCTGACAAAGATGCAAGTCTTCTTAACTGGGATTGGCTTTAATCTTTTAACCAATTTTGCTCCAGTACAAGCTGTTTGTTACTGTTCTTGGCAGAAGTTTAGATTACAAAATCTCTCCTTTGTGGATTTTCTTTATAGCAGTCTGTAAGCTCCATTGCATCCTGCAGCATTCTAGATTTGTGTTACCTTACACCTGAAGCCACAGCAGCCTAGAAAAACTTATTCATTAAGTAACATTCTGATATAGCACATTGTCTGCCAATTTGTTGATATTCAGATTCATTGTTGGAAAACTGTTATGCTACGAAGGTGTTGTATTTTCTCATAAGATAAATTAGTTACGGTTCCATAACGTAATTGCTACTGTTATTTTTTACATGGTCATACTTCCCATACGGAGAATTGCAAATTGATGGAAATGTTATCTTGCTTCCTTTAATCCAAAGAACTAAACCAGATTTTTAGCAAGTTAGAATTCCACTGAATCTCTCTCTTTTACTGCTTTCTCTGGTTTTTTGTGTATTTCAAAATTAGAGTTGTTATTAGAATTTTTATAGAAAACACAGGAGAGACAGAAAACATGTAAATATTTTAACAATATGACTTATTTACAATAGTCTATATGAAGTACTATTCTATGTAGTATAGAATTAACACTTTCTGCACATTTCACATATCAGGTTTTTAGATGATCTAAAATTTGTCTAATGATGAGACCACACATTTTTTAATCTCTGAATTTCCTTTAGGATCTCATACAGCTTAGCAGTTGCCCATCACATTGTTTGCATCCTGTTTTTTGCCAATATTAGCTCAGCGAGCAAGTTGCCTTTTCAACATAGAAGCATGATTAAAGCAAATGTTTTACTGTTAGAGGCAATCCTTTCTGTCTCCTGATTTTGTACAGCATTCTTGAAAACTTGTTTATTTTTAAAATTTTAATCACATGGTGTGATTCTTGAGGCTGTCCTGTGCAGAGTCAGGAGCTGGACTTCGATGATCTTTGGGGGTCCCTTCCAACTCAGGATATTCTAAGATTGTGTATTTGACTGACATTTTAGATCTGACTACAGGAAAGGACTTTTGTATAGTGTTGCTTTTCTGCAGTGAAAATGCTTACAAAACTGACTCTATTGTTTATAATCTCAAAATAAAATAACATTATTGAATTTGAAAATTTGAATGGTTCATTGAGCAGAATAAAAGGAAAAATTAAAGGACAGGTATGGTGTATTTTAGCAAAGATGCCTCCCTTCTTCAGTCGTTTCAGTGCTAGCCAGTTCCTAACTCTAATTGTGTTTGCATTTGGCTTTGGGACAGTTGTACTGTTTATTTCATAAGACATATCAGTCTACATTGAAACTATCACAATTTCAGTTTTTTTCCAGAAAAGCTGCTTAATTTAAAAAAAATTATGGCTGAAAAAAGATTAAGTCAGTGGCTGAGAGACTACACCAAAGGTTGAGAAAATAAAAATGTTCGTTGCAGCACTCTCCACTCCCACTGGGGGTGGGTATTGGAAAATAGTCATTGAGAAATGGTTTGTCCATATTGCTGCTTGCCTAACTTTATCTTGATCCCTTAAGGATTAATCACTGCCTCAGCAAGTCAGTGTTCTGGTTAGCTTTTTCTTCTTTGGATGCTTTTGTGCCTGTTCATGCAAGAGAGAGAACAGCAAAACTGCTTACTTGATAGTTTTCCGATGTGTCTTCCATCTTTTCCCCCTCAAATTATGCAATCTTGGTAGCATTTTACATTGTAATTGCAGTGTATGTTTATCAGGCTGACCAGGAAGCTTTATGACCAGCCTGTTTCTGAAGGAGCAAAGAAGAAAGCTGAGTCCCACGGAGTTACCTTAGACTGTAAATGAACAATACATTCCTGAACATATCAGAAGTGTTTTGTGCAAAGTAGTATTTTGGATTGCAAATGCTGCTGCTTGTGTCCTTGTTAAATACAATACAATCAGAATTTTTTTCTGCTTTCTAAAATTAAACCTGAAATTCACTGTGAACATTTTCTGTATATATTGGTATGTGATGCCATATGATGCCACGTATGATACATAGCTTCGATTGTATCTTGCCATATTTTCACTCTACTTATTTGTTATTGCTACTCCTTGTGGTGCCTCTGAAATTCATAGCATCATTTGAGTGGAACTGTGGCTGAATATTTGTATTGTTTGATTTGGAGGGATGCCTAATAAGTAGATATATCTACACTCATAGTGCATGCTTCCCTCTGGTTTCTGCATAGTGCTTCTCATAATTTGCACACTAAATGATGAATTATTTAGAAGTAAAAATAAGCATTACAGGCCTGTCTAGAATACGTGTTCTTACCCTTGGTGACTAAAGATTGGTACACTCGGATTATTTTCTTTATCTACATATAATAAAAAAAATTCTTATTTTTAACATATGAGTCTTAATTTTAAAACACTGAACACTCAAGTATTGATCATTACTGTTAAATATATGAACAAGTAGATTGTACTTGAGACGTGGGGATGATAATTTGGCTTTGAGGCGTTCTTATTACTTCTAATAAGACTTTGGATTCCTTTGTAAAAAAAAATCGTATGTTAATGGTCCTGTTCCAGAACTGGTAAGCTCTAGATCCTGCACCCTGCCTTTATAAATACTGGCTTCACAATGGGCAAGTACTTTTTTGAGCTTGCAGTCATAGAACATTGTTAATGCTGTTCATCAGCTAATGGTTAGAGAAAGCAGTTATTTCTAAGAATTTTAGTCTGTATTCTTTCTCAATTAAACTAAACACACAAGAATTCTAGGATATTTAGTAGATAAAAGGCAGTACTTGCCTTAAAGCCTTCATCTGTAATAATTGGTATATAAAGGTATACACTGAATGATATGTACTTGTGTTGTGTGACAGCACTTTCTAAAATTAGTGCCACTAAATATGAGGTGGACATTTCTGTAAAATGTAGACACTGCCAAATATAGTATAGCCAAGCAATGGTGTAACTTATACCTGAGTTTCATGTTAATTTTTGGATATCAGTTCAACAGAAAAATACTTTTGCTTCCAAAGACAACCATGCTATAAATGTTGAACTCCGTAAATGTGTAAAAAAAAATCTCTTAGTTTAGATTTACTTTCTCTTTTCCTCTTTTTCTACTTACCCTCTTCCAGGGCTGTTTTTTCTGGTATATTCAACAGATAATGACTGTATACTCATGATAATTTCTACCTCAGCCTGGTTTAGCTTTGCACTACTTTATAGATGGAACAAAGTATCAGAAAGTCACAAAGCTTTTAATATGCTAAACTCTGAAATGCCCTTTCAAATTCTTTGTTGAGTTGCTTTTCGTGTTATTTTTGTCTACCACAACATAGGTAAGACTTGAATTCTGTATTTAATTGTTTTGAAACTTTGATGTAGATTGTCTTACAGGGTTTTTTTTAAATTATTGAATCATTATATGTCTTATTTATAAATGCTGTTCTGTAGATTAAAAGAGACTCTGAGGTACATGATGGTAATTCAAAATAAAAGTAGCAAAAAGGTGTTGGTAAATCCGTATGTAAGGAAATATTCTTGCATATATATGTGAAATATAGAAGAGTAGGTTCATGGAGCATAGAGAATTCCAGTTCTCTTAATTGTAAGGGATTTTATGCATTTCTGGAGTATTTACAGTAATTTGCTTAAAGTACAAGAGGTAATATTAATTACTGAGGGGTTTTGATAATTAAGAGAGCTACAAATCCTACAGATAGAAATGGCTACAACTGTTTCTGGTGTTTAATTTGTATTTTAAAAAAACATTTAAAAATAAACTACAAACTAATTTATGGTGTTGAGGACATCTTTGTTAATGTTGTAAGCATTGTCATGTGTGCAATAGGAAATATTTATTCCATTACATATTTTT